GCTTGGCCTGCTGTGTTCATCCAGCTCTACACCTTGTTATCTCCGATTCTCCAGCATCTGCAGTTCCTACTGTCTCTGAAACATTTTTAACTCCTTGCAGGAACAAAATATTTACACGTTGAGGCAACAAGGGATTTGACAACTAAATGGACCCCCTATGTTGGGAATGCTCCTGAAACCTTCAGCATTACTTTTTACTCACTTCTGAATTGCTTTACAGCCACTGGTGTATGCTTCCTTTTTCCTAGATGTTATTGCACTCTCACGTACCAAATTAAGCACATGAGCTTGTCTTGCAGTCTTCTCCAGTTTTAGATTCTTTGAATTTAAGTTTACAACTTCTTATTATGCAACCTTGAAAGACAATATCAGCTCCTGGGATTTGTTTATTTGGATAGCTGAGGGGATTGGTTTGCAGAATATAAAGATTCTGTATTATCCTGTCAAATTGGAAGACTTCAATAAGAAGTGCAGCTGAAAATTTACTAGCCAAGATATTTTATTCTTCTTGTTTTGGAGGAAGACATGGCAGACAATAGGTGAACGGGTTACTGAAGCTACAATGTTCCATTAGGCACACCTGCTCTACGATATGCCAGGATTACTTTGGAAAAAGATGGGAAAAGTTGATGGCATGACAGTGGCCAAGAATGCGACATTATAGACAAGATGCTTGATTTTTCACTCCTCTTTTTAAGGATCGCTTCCATTGTCATCCATATTTACTATGAACACCAGGGCTTTACCAGATAGATAAGATAGTGAAGAAGGCATTTGGTATGCTTGCCTTTACTAGTCAGTGCATTGAGTGTAGGAGTTGGGAGGTCATGTTGCGTGCTGCTGTACAGGACATTAGTTAGACCACTATTGGAATACTGTGTGCAATTCTATTCTCCCTACTATAGGAAGGATGTTGTGAAACTTGAAAGGGTTCAGAAAAGATTTACAGGGATGTTGCCAATGTTGGAGGGTTTCAGCTATAGGCAGGGGCTGAATAGACAGGCTATTTTCCCTGGAGTGTCGGAGTCTGAGCGGTGACATTTAGAGGTTTATAAAATCATGAGGGGCATGGATAGAGTGAACAGCCATGGGCTTTTTCCCAGGCTGGGGGAGTCCAAAACTAGAGGGCATAGGTTTAAGTGAGAGGGAAAGGATATAAAAGGGACCTAAGGGGCAATGTTTTCACGCAGAGGGTGGTGCATATATGGAATGATCTGCCAGAGGAAGTAGTGGAGGCTGGTACAATTAGAACATTTAAAAGACACCTGGATGGGTATATGAATTGGAAGGGTTTAGAAAAATATGGGCCAAATGCTGGCAAATGGGACTAGATTTATTTAGGATACCTGATTGGCATGGATGGGTTGGACCAAAGGATCTGTTTCAGTGCTGTATATCTCAATGACTCTGTTTGTTAGACAAAAGAAACATTTTCAATTTGAAGCACAATCCGAACCAAGCAGGATTCACCCGTAGCTTCAGCTATTTTCAAAATTGTAATTATGAGCCAAGCTGCTGTAAATACTTTTAATGCAAGAAATTTTAATTTATCATTTATTTGATCAAGAGCAAATTAAGCCCTACTCTACATCCTGACAGTTGGTTTTGTTTAGTTTGTTTACCGTACTTGCTAAATCAATTTGTAGATTGATCTAATTCTGATTTTTCACCTGATATCCTTTGTTAAACACTATTTCCCCTTTAGAAATTCAAGTTGACTCTTCTTAATTAACCACACAACTATTAAGTTTTCCCAGAAGTTTCCCCAGCACCAAAGTTAGACTAACTGGTCTGTTAATGCTGTGATTATCTTTACAATCATCTTTGAACAAGACGATAGTGCTTGCAGTTCTCTAGTCTTCTGGCATCTCCCCTGAGTCCAGGGAAGACTGAAAGATTGTGGCCAGTGCCCTTACAATTTCTGCCTTCACTTCCTCCAGAATCCTTGGATGTACCTCATCCGGTCCAAGTGCCTTGACAATTTTGAGGACTAACAGCCTATTCAACACTTTGATCCTATCAATTTTGAATAGTGATTGAGTTCCCCTCTCTGTCACCATGACCTGGGTAGTATCTCTCTGGTAAAGACTGGTGCAAAGCATTCATTTAAGACCTCAGCCTAGCTTTCATTAATAGAGGGATTTTAGCTTTCATTAATAGAGGGATTGAGTTCAAGAGCCGTGAAGTTATGCTCCAGCTGTACAAAAGCCTGGTTCGGCCACGTGGAGTATTGTGCCAGTTCTGGTCGCCACATTACAGGAAAGATGTGGAACCGTTGGAAAAGGTGCAGAGGACATTTACCAGGATGTTGCCTGGAATAGAGGGAAGGCCTTACGAGGAAAAGTTGAGAGAGCTAGGGCTTTTCTCTTTAGAACGACGAAGGATGAGAAGTAATTTGATAGAGGTGTACAAAATGATCAGAGGTATAGATAGAGTAGACAGCCAGAGACTTTTTCCTAGTGTGGAGGTAGCTATTACAAGGGGGCATAGTTTTGAAGTGAGTGGAGGTAGATATAGGGGAGACGTCAGAGGTAGGTTCTTTACTCAGAGAGTGGTAGGGGCGTGGAATGCATTGCCGGAGAGGGTAGTGGAGTCGGCCTCATTAGGGGCATTGAAGCAGCTATTAGATAGGCATATGAATGATAGTATAAGGTAGGGGTGGAGGTTAGATAGACCTTAGGTTTAGGGTAAAAGTTTGGCACAACATCGTGAGCCGAGGGGCCTGTACTGTTCTTATGCTCCATGCTCCTTGCCTCCATGCATAAATCCCTTTTTTTTTCTGTTTTCTGATCAGCCCTACTCCACCACCTAACTGCTGTCTTGCTATTTATATGCCTATATAAAACTTTGGAATTTCCCTCTGTAGTCTTGATTCTGTAAATGTGCTTAGTGGCTTCACAATTTTCTGGTTGTTTCACTTTTGTAGCCCAGGTGGTGCAGCTGAGTATAACTTCCAACTCTCATTATTGACAGTCCAGAAAGTTTGGGACCATTGTTCATGGTAGCCACTATATTTCCAAACTCAAAAGATTAAATTTATGGAGCTGCCTGGAAAATCCATACAGTTTTCCCCTTCAGGTTGAGTGTGCAAAATTGCTTAGTTATTCAGTCGCTCGGTAGAATTGAAGCAGAATCTTGTGACCTAAAAGTGGTCATTCTAAAGTGCTTCTTTTTGCTTGATGCTCAAATGCGTGGGTTGCACTACACTTGGAGTTTCCTTCAATCTATCGTTGCTACAAAAATACAAAGACAACCACTGGTATATGAAGAGCGAGTGGTTTAACTGTGAAGGAATTTGTTTAACAGGTATTTAAAAAGCAAATTGTCAGGAAACGATTCAACTTTTTTAACATGCCATGGTTTACAGTAAGTTACCTCCCGTTGCTATTTATAATGTGTGCAAAGAAAAATGGTTCTTTACAAGCGAACATTCTCTTTTTTAGCTGAATGATTGATTGATTGTTGACTTGTGAAGAAGATTTCTCAGCATTTTAAATAAAGAAATTCCAAAAATTAGAAACAAATTTTGTTGCAATATCTAAAAATATCTTCTTTTTTTCTGTGATCTTGTAAGAGCTAAGGCTACAAAATCATGCCATTTTTGCTTCCTCTAATGGTTTTAATATGAAAACACCTTTTATGTAATACATGAGAGGAGAGGAAATGGTTTACCCCCACAGGTGTACTACAGCCTTAGCATGATGCTACTTCAAAAATGTTTGGCATAAATTAGTTTCACTACTTTGGCCTTCAAAGTGAGTAATTTAGTTTAGTTTAGAACATGAGAACATTTCCTGTTTTGGGTCACAGTGTACAGCTTAAGCATTTGCAGGTTGGGTATCGCCTGGAGTGATCGATGCAGGTTAAAATTTACTCTACTCTTGTTTCAACCTCAGAACCTCTGCACCAGTTTGACAATTTTTCATTCTCCACCTCTGTCTTTCTTTGGTGAGTGAGACTGCTGGATTAAGAGCACTCAGTTGCATAGTTATTGGAATTGAAAATTACCCAAGTTAGTTTAGTGTCATTATCAGCATAGCTAGTAGGTCAACTTCCTTTAACCTTTTTTATTCTGGTTTGAATTTGAGCTGAAGTTTGAGGCCAAGGCAGTTGTCTAATGTACTTGCCTATTTTTCAAAAGTCACTTTTTTTTAACAATGAAAAGATGAGTAAGAACATCCGGTTCTAATAAAGATGTTCATTTCAACAAGTTGAAGCAGTATGCTTATGGAAAGGGGCTTCAACCCCTACTCTCCCTATTTATGCAATACAAAGAAATGTACGAGGTTGTATGCATCTTTATATGATATTTAAAATACTCAAATTTATGGATAAATCTGTTTTGCAAGAATGAATTTATGCACTTACATTGCACAGAACAAGGGATGCAGAGTATCTAATCTGTACTATCTCCACGCAAGTATTTTCTGAAACAGAATGCTCCTAGACTTGATTTCAATAAAACAACAATCCCACCTATTCACAGAATGAGCAGCTTCAAAGCAATACTGCTTTTCATGTCATTCCATGATATGTTTTCAAAAAATGAAAGTCTGGAATGTTTTATTCATTTTAAAGTGAAGCTGTAAGGATATGCGTTTTTTTTTAAATTTCAGTTTTAAAATAGACATTATATCACGACAATCTACTTAATTTACTGCTGTTTGCTTTCTTTCGGTCACTGAAAGTACTAAATTTAACAGCACTTCAACCTGTACCAATTGCTTATTATCAACAAAATAAGTTTCAGTTTTCATTATGAACATGTACCTCCTGTTCCTGCTGTAGTTGGAATTCGTATTTGATCGCTCATTGATTTCTAGTTTGTAGAATCAGCTGAACAACTTAAGCCACAAATAAACCTGTGTTCCAACTACTGTGTGTGTTGCCGGGGAGAAGGAGGAAAACGTTAAAACCCAGTATTAAATGTTAAAAATCCATTTTTAGTATGGTCCATAAGTGTGAATGTGTAATATGTGGAAAACCTTTTATAGGCAGTAACTGTAATTTTTTTCATTTGTTCTGTTGTTTGGGTTGCTGTCCTTTTGGTCGGGAATGACAGTTCCAAGCAACGGTGTGGTCCTTAGCACCAGAAGTTTGAAGTGTAACCTTGTGTTGTGCACTAAGACTCAAAAACCTCTTAAAGATAGGGAAGTTTTGTAACAATGGTTCAAATTTTGTATTCCATTCTCTGCCCCAAAATAATGTTTGTGATCTCATGCTGGTTTAGTTTCCATGGTTGCTGCAGCGCTCCATAACCTTATCCAAATGTCTGTTATTCATGCGTAGACCTTAGTGTTGAGTGTTGGTATGCTACTGCAGTCTGGGATGGCACATCCTATCCAGCATCTATTCTGCTCTTCCACCTTTCTCTTTCTTAAAAAAAAAGCAGAGATCACTCAGTTGGTCAGGGTGGGGCACTCTGCCTGTGTTCTTTAATGTATCCTGGGCTAGTTAAGTAATGCAGAACTGAGATCAGAAACATCTGACTTTTTTTTTTTTTTCTCTCTTTTTCTTAGATAACTGAAGTTGCCCTTAAATATCACAACTGTAATAACAGCAAGAGCGTTCATCGTGTGCTACAACACATGGAAGAGGCCGAGCAGGCTGACCACAAAGATCAGGCCACAGATTCTTTTGCACATGTAGTGGAATCTTTCTTCCAGATGCGGAAATCTTGTTGTAATACAATAATGCTTCCCCAGTGGAATCATATATCCCAAATTCTCAACATCTGTGAATTATGCATTAATCAGACAGTTGGAATGCGACCAAGTGTGGTCCACCTTAGACAGTGCAGCTCCATAGAGATGGAGACAGCACTGGGTTTGTTCTACCTCAGAAAGCGCACATTTTTTCATCTACGATCAAACACTGTAGAATGCAGCAATTTTTTGAGCTATTACAGTCCTTTCAACTACTACACTGTTTGCTGTAGGACATTCAACAGTTCATTTAATTCTGAACAAATCAATGCCTTTACCCCTTCAGAACTGTTTTTCAGTGCAGAGCAGAAGCGTGGGGTGATTTCTGACAGTTTTCCTCATGTTGAGGACAGAGTAACAAGTCTTCTAGAACTGCACCTCATTCAAAGCCACATTACAGGACTTAGCTGTAATACCAATAAAACTCTGAATTTTTACTTGATGGATTCAAATTTGCACTGGAGATTTGCCACTAGATTAGGAGCTAATGAGTCTGCACAAGTGCAAGAATTTGCTACAATTATTGATCTGTTGGATGAAGTTCATTATGTCCTTGACCAAAGGCAGATTCTTGATAAATCTTCTATTGGTACGTATCTATGAAAAGATATATTTGATGTAGCTGAGATTTTGATGATCTGTAATACTTTGTGTAGTTTTACACTGCTGATTTTAATCTGTCGTTCCAATTTACAGATTCCAGTCCAAGTACAGATGCTATTTCAATGAAATGAATTTGATCAAATTTTATCCCTTCTCAATTTTAGTCCCTTCATTTAACAATCCCAGATCAACTTAATGAAGGTGCTCTGAATTTAGATAGGCATTTGATTCTATTTAACGTAATCCACTATTTACTTTCTGGAATCATGGTTTCAAGAACGATTCTAAATTAACCAGTGTACTAAATTTTCCATGCTTCTTTGAAGATATGGCCTATGCTTTAGCTCTTCATCTAGGTTCAGTTGAGCTCATTATCTGCATTGACCACTTGGGTAACGATGTATGTAAATGTTTCAGCCTTACTCAATAACCTTACTATTTAGGGCATTAACTCCTTGTTCTTCTCCCTCACTTCTTATGCTTGCCCCTCCCAGGGTTCCTGTGGCACAATGGTAGTCTTTCTTCCTGTGGACCTGGTGGCTCAAGTTCACGTTGCACCTGCTCCAGAAATGTGTCATAACATATCTGAACAGGCCGATTAGAAACATCTGTGCTTGACCCTCCTGAGAGAATCTCCTGAGGTGTAAATGGGTATTTGAAATTGAATCCCTACAATAATGTCAATTTGGTTGTGGGCCATCTTGTGCACCACAAATGAATTGCAAGGATTCTTACAAGGGAATAATGACTGTATCTCAGTGCCTAGGTTAGAAGATAAGATTAAATCCCCATATGATTTATTCTTGACTTTCACTTGTTCAGTTGAGGCTTATGCCTTAGCAGAAATCATTTGTAGTTTATTTTCTAAAAAATTCCATACTTGCATACTTTGGCTCAATTCTGCAGCTGATCCTCTTACTGAAGATGCTTTTGAAAAAATTATGGTACAAGTAATACCCTCACATAACAGTGCTGATCATTTTACAAAGAAGATATCCAAAAAGTGATGAATCCCTTTTAAAAGTGATCAGGATCAATTAAATTTAATTAATGGTTTGACAGTTTATTTTGAATTCATTAATTGTGAATTTTGGTCAAGTTTTGCACACGGATTGCAGCAGTTCAAGAAGGCAGCTCACCACCACCATCTCAAGAGAAACTTGGGATGGGCAACAAATGCCAGCCCAGCCAGCAATGCCCATATCCTATGAGTGAATGAAAAACCTCCTAAAAGACTTAAATTAAATGTTGTGCGCTTCCACCTTACCAACATCAATCTCCTACAAATTAACCACTGAAGGAATATGATTATTGTAAAATTAACAGCCGGGAGCTAAATTTTACACCCAAATTAAACTCTTTTCACTTTCAATTTTGAATTTTTAGTTGAGAACTTAATAGAAATAATGTTTCTAGCTCAGATTTGCATTATTCCTTTTGTGAAGCATTCTTTCTGGGAACAAATAAGACTGATACGATCATTGAAGTAATAAAAGTGTTGCATGTTAGGTATGAATGCATCAAGAGCTTAAAATACTCACGCTGAACCATTAGGTATTCTGGTTATTTTGTATTTGGGTCTTGATATTGTGGGCCTCTTCAAATAAAAGGCCAATGTTTTAACATCATTTCGCACACTTGATGACAACCTCCTTTGGAAGCATGCATGTGTGGACAGCGGCTAAGGATGGAATCTAACTCGGCTGCTTTGCCCCATTTTGTTTGAAAGGCCACCCAACACGCTGCATCAAGACTGAACATCTACCATTCAGCTGAGACATCATACAGTGTCTTTCCCTCTCATTCCAGAAACTAGTTTGTCTTAAGTATACTCAAAACAGATGAAAGCTGTCTCTACATTTGTTTCAACAGTTTAACTTATCTTTTAAAGACTCAAGTCCTATTCCTTTTCCAGTTTTCATAGAATCCCTACAGTGTGGAAGCAGGCTATTTGGCCCATCAAGTCCACACTGACTCTCCGAAGAGCATCCCACTCGGACTAAACCCATTCCCGCAACCCAACCACCTTTCCCATGGCTAATCTACCTAACCTGTAGATGCCTGGATTCTATGGGCGATTCAGCATAGCCAGTCCACCTACCCTGCACATTTTTGGACTGAGAGGAAACTGGAGCACCCGGAGGAAACCCATGGAGAAAATGTGAAAACTCCCATTTTATACACAACTTATTTGTTATGGACTTGCTCAATATGATTTGCTTCATAGGTTTTACAGCAAATTGTATAAGTGTTTGTGCAGTCTCATTCTATTTATACAGCACATTAATGTTTTTTTCTGCTCGAGTCCACACTGTGTGGATCCCAGTTCTGGGATACTGGCTCTTTACTGCTTGATATTCTGAATTTTGAGCTCTTAAAACCATGGAATGTCAGTCTTTGTCTGGAACATGCAATGGTCAGAATGTGAAACAAGTTTTATTTATCACTTTCTTGTTTCAGAAAACGTTATAAAGAATTATAGTAGGACATACAGTCCATTAAATCGGTATCTTATTGCTGGAACAATGTCTCAAGCTCAGGAAAATTATTTAATTGCTGAAGTCACGACCCAGACGTTTGACAGCATAGTTCTGGATGCTGAAAAGGTTAGCCTGAATTCTTTCTTGCGAGTTATTTCAATTTTCATGTTTGGATAACAGCTGGTATATGTGCTGTTGAAAATGCTATTGTATATTTTTGTAAATATGATGTTTAGTTTGCAAGATTTATAATGTAACAAATTCTCAAATGTCAGTTCCCATTTCTCTACAAAACACGTAAGCTAAAAGTTAGTTCTTGGACACACTGTGCCAGCTGGGAGATGTTCAGCAAAATTTGTTTAGGCTTTATGCTGATTTTGTGTTTCTGCTGCATTTCTGCTCACTGTTGCAAATTTAAGTCTGACTGCGAATAAAAATGTGTTTCTACATCATGAGTCATTTGTGAGGAAACCTTACAGTTTGACAAGTGTTTTTGTCATGAGATTTTTGAAACTACTTTTCCTCCACTGTTGAAAGTCATGATTCATGATGGTAATTGGTTTTCGCAGGCTATGGCATCCTTCTAGTTGCTTGTCTGAATTGGCGATTTACAAGTATGATACCAGATAATGTTTGGGGAGGCAAAGTATCATATTTGGATTTACTCTATTTTATGAAAGTATGGCCAATGTGAAGTAACAGAAGCAGGAGCCCTGGAAACTTACTTGGGATTGTTTTGCCCCACCACTGCCTTCCTGCAGATATTGACGCCAACTTTAGCGTCCAATATTTAGCTAAATTCAGGTTGGAACAGATTAGGAAACCTGTTTTGAAACTTGCAGTCTTGATTAGATTTGATTTATTATTGTCACATGTACCTATGTACAGTGAAAAGTTTTGTTTAGTGTGCAGTACAGGCAGATCATAACATACAAAGATCATAGGGTGACTGAACAGAGCGAGGAATACAAAGTTATGGTTGCAAAGAAGGTGCACAAAAAGCAAGATCAACATTAGACTTGAAATTTGAGAGGTCCATTCAGAAGTCTAATAACAGCAGAGAAGAAGCTGTTCTTGAAGCTGTTGGTACATGTGTTTAAGGCTTTTGTATCTTCTACCTGACAGAAGAGGTTGGAAAAAAATAATAACCTGGGTGGGCGGGGTCTTTGATTATGTTGGCTGCCTTTCCGCAGCAAGGAGAAGTGTAGATGGAGTCAATGGATGGAAGGTTGGCTTGCGTGATGGCCTGGGCTGTGTTCACAACTTTCTATGTAATTTGCCATTATCAAACTTTTTTTGCTTTGACAATTTTGCCAACTAACCCTTTAATTTTTATTTCTTTTTTAAACTGTCAAATTGGAATGAATCATAGGATTGCATGATCTCTCCTCTCCTCTGCAGAGGAGAGGTTAATGCTTTGATACAATTCCATAGATACTGGCAAGCCGCTGGCTTCTTGCCTAAACACCAGTTTAATTCTGTTTGGAGCCTGGATGCTGTGTGTCATCTGTTCCACAAGACTTGTCATCAGAACGGATCTTGATCTTGTTCTCTGCTGACCTTTACACATTTTTCCAGAACTGGTCATTGTTGCAACAGCATGTAAGAACAGTAACCCTGGCAGTTGTTTTTTTTTTCTTGGCCCCTCATTGCCTAACTTGAGGCTAGTGAAACCTAACTGTAGCACCTTATCAGATGGCTTGCGTAACACATGCAACGAATTGAACTTCTAGTGTATCACCCGCTACTATCAAAATCTGAATTATTGTAAAACTGTAATTTTGCAAACAAATATTTTGTGCTGATGCTTGTACACAATCTGTATTCCTCCCTTGTTTGGTCTTTTGTTTGAAGTTACTGGTTGAAGGTAGCTGTTTAACAGGCTTTGTGTCAAATTCCTCTTGAGTGACATGGATAGGTAATGAGGTCTGTGGCAAGGTTAGTCATTCAGTACAGCAAGACAGCTTAAGCCTGGCTTTGAGGAGTTCCAGCACAAAGTGCAGAATAAAAAGAGCTGAAAAGTGTCTTGGCTAATTTTTGTTGCCATAAAGTTCTTGGTACACAAAGGAGGCCATTTGGCCCATAAATTCCATGCCAACTCTGTGTAGCAGTCTAGTTAGTTCAGTTCGCCCTTAGTCATATACAATTTGAAACATTATCTCTGTTACTCTCTCCACAAATGCTGCCAGATCTGCTGAGTTTCTCTACCATTCTCTTTGTTTTTAGATTTCCAGCATCAGCAGTATGTTGCTTCTCTTACCCCTTTGTGTAAATTCATTGGCAAGTTTTTTAGAGTATAGTCTGCCTTTTGTAAACATGCTAGAAATGCGTAAGTTATTATTGCTTAAGTTCAATACATCATAATTATGATATCTTGTTGTTTTTCTAGCTTTTTCTGTGCCAATAGCAAGTTACTGTCTCAGTGGGTTATTGTTTGTAACCAGGTTTTCGTCTTAGAAGACAAAACTAGCGATTTCTTGATTTTTTTTTTCAAACAATCCTTGTAGATTGTTGTCTGGGAGAATTGCACACCTTCTGAAGTTCTGATTTAGCGTGTTTCCTTTTAATGTATATTTGAAAATTTAACTGCTTTGGTGATTACTTAATTAGTGGTGAGATGTGTGGTTTCTTTCTAGTCTTCAACTTGCTATGCACAGTCATTCAGATACCATTGCATGAGCTGTACAAGCTTTATACGTCTGAGATTATTCTCTCTGGCATTTATTCAGTAACAAAACATTTTGCCATCATGTGCCATGCTCAAAAAATGCCTTCATCGAAAGCCAGACTTTTGAGCAGTTTCCTGTTTAGTGCAATACTAATTGTTTTAAATCTTTGATTATTTAGCCTCATTCTTTCTTTAATAAAATATCCTGCCAGTATTGTTTTTACAATTTCAAGCATAATGGAGCCCAAGTACTGTTCATAGTCATTGTGGAAAAGGTATCTGGGTGGTAAATAAAGCCTTATTGAATGGAAATAGTTTAAAATTGAAAGTTTGAAAAGTAATGTATTTTAAGTGTGGCACCCAAGATCCTGTCCTGTCTTAATCCATATAAACAAACATCTAGCGAACTTCTAGTCCCCACCCACTTTAGATGATCAGTACTTGTCCAGGAAATCAATAAGCCCATGTAAACTCCACCTAGTATGTTGCTTACCTTCCCAGTGAGGAACTGATCTAGTGCATGGTGAAATGACAGCCTGTATTCACCACCTCAGACAATTCCATGGCATTTGTTCCGTGGAACTGGTTATGAATTGTTCTGTAGTTCGACTTTATTTTTTTAAAGATGTTTGTATTCTGATTCTTACTGTAATACCAGCATAAACTTTACAAAGTACTTGAATCTTGCAATAAATGTGTGTAATTTTATTTTTAAAGTAGTGCATAAGAGGGAATGTGAATAGCAGATATCTCCTCCTCTTCATTCCCATCCCAAATAGCTTCCGATTCCCTCCGGTCCCAAAGTAATGGATAGGCGTAAGGCAACATAATCTTATCGTTTTGGTCAGGTTTTTGCATAATATTGTGCTGACTGACTTTACAATACTGTATTCTCTTACAGAATGTTTTGTTACTCTACTACACTCAATGGTGTGGATTTTGCACTGTTCTCAATCATGTGTTCATTCAGGTTGCCCGTCTGTTCCATGCTAATGATGGAATCATAATAGCCAGGTGAGAAATAATTGCAATTGTTTCAAAACAACATTTCCTTTGCCCTGGTTTGTTTTTCCCTGTGCCCCTTGTGTGTCTTTGTTCCTGCAGCTCTTCCATCCTGACTTGGAAATATATTGCTTTTCCTTCACTGTCACTGGGTACAGAATCCTGGAACTCCATCCCTAAAGGCATTGTGTGCCTAGCTGCAGCATGTGGACTGGAGTGGTTCAAAAGGACAGCTCACCAGCACCTTCTCAAGGACAACTATGGGTGGGCAATAATTGATGGCTAGTCAACGATGCCCAAGTCCCACGAGTGAATAGAGTCTGTTCAGTCAGGATCAGTGAGATATGTAAACCACTTGAGCAGTGAATAACTCCAAACATGGATCCAGTCTTGCTTTACAAAATCTTGTTCTTCAAAATTGACTATGTTGGGGGTAATGTTCCATTTCTTTCTTTGTGTGTTTGTGAGCTTTGTGTTGGGGCATTATGTACCAATAATGAGAAAATGCCAAGAGGTTGTATCTGCTTGTATTAGACAAGTGATGGAGATATCTGCATACCTGTTTTATTAGATTGTATGGAAGCCAGTCTTTTTGCCTTTGGATAAAGCCATGACTGTAATTTGTGTCTAAAATTACCATTGCCAGAAGTGTCATTTATTTCGAGAAGTTCTGGTAATCTTGCAGGTGAGAGAATGTTTTTAGAGAGTTTGGGTAGCGGGTGGGGTGGATGCTGTAGGGGGAGCAAGGAAGAGGATAGAATTCTCTAATGCGGTCATTCTGAAAGACAGCATTCACTGTAACCAGAAAACAGCCTGTAGGTAGTAGGGACAAAAGGTCTTTTTCAAGTTCGCAGACTGTAATTAGTAGAGTACCACAAGGATCAATGCTGGGTCCTCAACTATTTACAATCTCTAGCATTGATCTGTTTGTTAGGAGTTAATGTATGCTGGCACCAAGTTGCTGCTGATAGCAAGCTAGGTAAGGAAATATATTGTCAGGCGGATGTAGAGAGTCTACAAAGGGATTAAGCAATTCTGAGGAGGTTCACATAACTCATTCCTGGAATGAAGGGCTTATCATAAGGGAAAAATTGAACAGAGTTTAGAAAAATGAGACAAAAACAGAAGTTGCTGGAAAAGCTCAGCAGGTTTGGCAGTCTCTGTGAGGAGAAATCAGAGTTAACGTTTTGAGTCTGGTGACCCTTCCTTGGAACTGATGGTAGCTAGGAAAATGTCTGTTTATATGTAGAAGATAGGGTGAGGGGAGGGCGTAAGGAGTAAACGATAGGTGGGGATAGAGCCCAAGGCCAGAGAAGAGAAGTTGGACAAAAGTGTAGATAACGATCTGGCTAGGAGGGTGAATAGCTGTTAATAGAGACTGTTAGTGACTAACAATAGGTAATGTGTAATGGCACGCTGTGTGATAACAAGGCCTGGTGTGTGGGGTAGGGGTCTAGGCCATGGGCGAGTTCAGGCCCTAAAATTATTGAGTTTGGAGGGCTGCAGGGTTCCCAAGCAGAAAATGAGGTGTTGTTCTTCCAGCTTGCACTGAGCTTCACTGCAGCAGGCCTGAGACAGATGTTAGCCAGGGAAAAGGGTGGTCTTTTAAAGTGGCAGACAACTGGAAGCTCGGAGTGTTTTTTTACCTGCGGAATGTGGATGTTCTACAAAGCAGTCACTCAGTTTACGCTTTGTTTCCCCAATGTAGCGCACACTTTGTGAGCAGCAAATGCAATAGACTAGATTGTGGGAAGTGCAGGTAATGTGCTGCCTCACCTGGAAGGTATGTTTTGGGCCCTTGGATACTGAGGAGGGAGGAGGTAAATCGGCAAGTGTCACTTTAATAGCTGAGATGAGACACCCACCTCCCCCCCTCCTCCGGCGGCTCATTGATCTGTGGAGTTCTCTCCTCCCGCCACCCACCACACCGATCCTCAGAGCATCCCATCCCCCTATAACCCACTTAGCCTGCACATCTTTGGACTGTGGGAGGAAACCGACACAGACACGGGAAGAACGTGCAAACTCCACACGCAGTCACCCAGGGATGGAATCAAACCCGGGTCCCTGACGCTGTGAGGCAGCAGTGCTAACCACTGAGCCACCATGTAGCCGGTGGAGGCTGGTCACTGAGTTTATTCAGTAAAGAGATTTTAAATTGATGAGCAAGTTGAGGGTTACTTGGGGCAGCCAGAAAAATGGGTTTGAGATCGCAATCAGATCCGTTACAATATTATTGAATGGCAGAGCAGGCTTGAAGGTCTGAATGGCTTACTGTCACCCCTATGTTCCATCTGAGAGTTGAAGCTAACTGGAAGTTATGTAGTATAACATACAAATGCCAGTACATTAAACAGATGCTACATTTTCTGATAGACTACTTTTTTAAATGAGCTGGTAGCCAGAAGTGTGCCCACTTGTTTGGATAGATTTTTTTTAATGCAACCTATTTTACTAATCAGCCTGCTTAGGCATATTATTACACCACCAGCAGGGGAACTTAAAGCTGGGCAGGTGGATTGGCTGTTCTTCCACTGGTCTGTTTAACTTGGCCCCTCTCCTTGAGGTGATCTTCATAGAGATGTACAGCATGGAAACAGACCCTTTAGTCCAACTTGTCTGCGCCAACCAGAAATCCTAATTTAGTCCCATTTGCCAGCATTTTGGCCCATATCCCTCTTAAACCCTTCCTTTTTATGCAGCCATCCAGATGCCTTTTAAATGTTGTAATTGTACCTGTCTCCATCACCACCTCCGGCAGCTCATTCCATACGCACACACACCACCGTCTGCGTGAAAAAGTTGCTTTAGCTGGTTGTTCAGCTCGTGGCTGACTGGGGTCTTCTGTAAAAGAATACCTGCTTCATTTTCTAAGAACTGCTTTGGAAACGTTTGACAAATGCAATCGGGCATATTATGAATGGGAGTCATTTTTTTTTGTGCATCGTTGCAGAGGGTAAATTTTATAAGGCTTCACAGATTCTGCATTGCATTTCTAAACTGAGGAGTGTTTAGTAAAATTATCATATTTAAACTAACATATTGCAATAGATTGTCTGAACTTCAAAGACTTGCATAAAGATTCAATATTACCTTCACCTCTTAAAAGTACAGCTTTTGATACAAAAGCTTATTGTATGTGACATTTGATTAGTTACCACATCTTTGCAGATTAGTCAGCATGGCAACAATTAAGCTATTTTTAGAGTGAACTGAAACAGGAGCACTTATTCTGAGAAACTGTGCATAGTGGCAGTGTACATTTCTAAAGCTACATTGTTGATTCATAAATTCAAAATGATTTAAATGTGCCTGTGTAATAGTTTATATATGAAAATGTAGTAACTGGAAAAATGAAATGCAAAATGACTTGCCAAAAATTGCAAAAGAGTGTTTCTTCCAACTGGAAACTTAAATCTTTAAAGCTATAAGGCACTAACTTGCAGGTAACTGCATGCCATCAAGGTATTATCCAAACAGGACTTATCATGAATGAGTGCAATACATCATACTGTATGGTTTCAAACATCTTTCCAGTTGCTATGAATGAGTTTGTTATTCTTCATCCAATTTAGCACTGGTATGTATACTCCGAAAAGAAATGGATCCTGATTTCTGTTCTGGTGCTCCTTCTCCACAGGATTCACAGTTCATTCACAAAGTTGCTCTTGTACTTTCAGAATCAATGTTGCCAAAAATGATCTTCCTTGGGAGTATATGGTTGACCGACTTCCTACTATTCTGTTTTTCCCCAGAAACAGGTAATGCATGAATGAATAAACTGCATGTATTTTTATTAGGGCTCATTGCTTACCTTTTTGTATAAATACTCCCAACTGTAATAACCTTGGAATTTGAGTTGATTATACTTGGACAAATGATGAAAATAATTGCTAGTTTTTATCACTGTTAGAGCTGCTTTTACATGCCCAGACCCTCCTGGTGTGGCCAGCTCTTGTGCAATAAGAAAATAAATTTACCACAACTTCAACATCAGCTTCTGAAAGCCGTGGCTGTGCATTGGAAACCAACAACCTGGACTGCAGCTTTTGGCTTAATAATATAATTGTAGTTTGCTTCACAACAGAGTTCAGTCGTTAGGGAGAGTGTGTGTTTGTGTGTGTGCGCTGTAACACTACGCAGTGGGCATGAATCTTTGAGCTCCGTTGGACTGAAACGTCATGCTGTCTAGGCCTGCTGTTTCCTTTTCTTTGTGTTGAACAAAACTTATTTTTTAATGGTAGGTGCCAGCAACCCAAGAGGTGCTGGGTGAACTGACATGGAAGAGGGGGTTGGGTTAAAGCAGCCAGTTAAACAGACTGAGTTGCTTTTTTTTTGAAGGTTTTCAACCACAAGCAAGTAATGCACATTTTAAAGGTGTTTCAGCTCTATAGCACCATTATTCTTGTTAACACCTCAAAACCAATTCAGTTATTGCTGATGATTCCTTCAGCATGAACCGTTTTTGAACAAGGTTCCTTATCTTGCAACTCAATTGTAATTTATTTGATCTGGTGTGTTTGACATATTTTGTGGTGACTCTGACCCTTTCCTATTTAAATGTGTTGAAGAAAGCAAGAACTTACATTTATGCATTGGCTTCACAACTTCAGGCTACTCCAGAATTCTTCCAAGCCAATCAATCATTGTTGCAAAATGACCTAGTAATCATTATTGTTACAAATGCAGGAAAATGAACCTGAACCTAAAATTATTGTTAAAGTATCAGGTCAGTGGTACTTTGTGGCATTGTGCTGAACTAATCCATGATACAGTCTCTGAGTTGTGCATTTCACAAGGCACATTAGGCCATGCTTTCGATTTTTATTTTAACTATTGTATTCACTAAGAGAGTGTGCAGCAGAGTAAACAGAATTAACTATTGGGCAGAACGTGCAAACTCAGCATGAGTTTTTTTCAGTCGCTAAGTATGTCAGAGGAAGTATCAATTGTTAAAACTGAAAGCATAGTGTTATTTGTAACTTGCTGCAGGGTGACAAACAGATGGTCACAAAGTTAGCATAGACCATGTTTGGAAGACAATTGCTAACTTGCTTTTCATTAAAAACAGAAACCTCAACAACATACTTGAATCTATGTGGAGTACTTCAAGCAAAAGTCTATTTTAAAAAAAAATAAAAAAATGCAGGAGAGTATGTTTGCACCGTAAGGATGTTGCTTTTCGTCTAAGCTTTTTGTTCTTTCTGAGCATTACATTGAACCGGACCAGCAACAACAGATTACATCTTCCTAATGATTCTTTGAAGTTAGCCACAAAAATGTTATGGAACAGCCTTTTGAATTTTCTCTGCCAGAGATTATCTGGGTTCCAATAAACACTTCGTACATTTTTTAAAAAGAGAGTTATGGTTAAAAGCGAGCAGCTTCTTCAATGACAAAGTATGTTCATGCTGCATCCTACTCGTTGTAGCCAAAAGATGTGTTTTAGGAAACATATGATTTAAAAGGTGTTGCAGAGCATTTTAGCATAAATGTCTCTTTCTTAAGTATATTGAACCTTGCAAACGGGTTCGTCACCTTTTGGAGCCCAACCTTTACCTTGTACAAGAAGAGATTGTAGACTTGCTCGCCAAGCCAGTGTGTTTGATTGCAGATGTTTCGTCACCCTGCTAGGTAACATCATCAGTGCGCCTCCGGTGGTGTTCGTGTTCTGTCCCGCTTGCGTTTCAAACACAGTGTTAATTGTACAATTGTACAAGATTGTACAAAGAAGATTCCAAGATAACTCCACTGCCTCTTGTGAGAGGAAATGTCCATCTGACCTCTGGTCAACTTCTGAAGATATTTCTGAGACCAGAAGAGAGATGTGCAGGAATAACGAATGTATACTCATGCCCTTCAACTCCAATAAGATGAATCATTCTTCTGCCTAACACTGGTCTAATACTGCAACCATCTTACCTGTAACAGAAGTTAAGACATATGGGACATATGTGGGTGTCACTGGCTAGACCAGCGTTAATTACCCATCCTTAATTACCTTCCAAAGGTCGTAGTGAGCTGCCTTCCTAAAAATCCATGTGGCATAGGTACACCAGTACTGTTGGGGAGGAAATTCCAAGACTTTTAATCCATTGTCTGTTAAAGAACAGTGATCTCATGCCAAATTGGGATGATTTGTTTCTTGAGGAAATGTTTCCAGGTGTGGTGTTCCCATTTACTTGCTGCCATTGTCTTTCTCGGTGGTTGATGCAGGTTTGCACGGGGCTGCCACAGAAGCCTTGGTGAGTTTTGTGGTACATCTCATGTACTGTACACATGTTGCCACCACTCTACATCGGTGCTGGTGGAGAGAGTGAATGTTGAAGGCTTTGGATGTGGTGACGGTCAAGCGGCTTTGATTCATCCTGGATGATGATGAGCTTCTTGAAGGTTGCTGGAGCTGCAGCCATCCAGGCAAGAGGAGAGTATTCCATCACGCTCCTGACTTGTGCCTTATAGATGATGACTGGCTTTGGGGAGGCAGGAAGTGAATCACCTGTCGAATTCTCAGCCAATGTTCTGCTCTTACAACCACATTATTTATATGGCTATTCCAGTTCAGTTTTTGGTCAATAGCAATGCCAAGATAAAATTAATAGGGGATTCAGCACTGGTAGTGTATCGAATATCAATGAGCAAAGTGTGGGTTCTTTTCTTCGGTTTGTCTTTGCCTGGCACATGTGAATGTTACTTCTCCCATATCAGCCCAAGCCTGATTGATCTGTGCATTTGGACAAGGACTGCTTCAGTATCTGAAGTTGGAAATGGTGTTGAACAGACCTTCGATCGTGTTTGTTGTCTGTCTGTTGGCATCATTTAGCTTTGTTTATCACAGGCTACGTGTGCTGTTTGTCATAAGAGTAGACCTATGTGGTAGCTTTACCAGGTTGACACCTCATTTTTATGTAAGTCTGTCTTCGTAATTATAGAGTGGAGGCTATGCCAGGCTGTGAGATTATAATTTGTGGTGAAATATAATTCTGCTGCTGATGGTAATTAATTGCCTCATGAGTTGTTTTGCTGTTCAAGATCTATCCCATTCAGGATAGTGATGGATGATCTCTTCTATGTGATGGCAAGACTTTGTCTCCACAAGGACTGTGTGGTAATAAGTCCTACTGGTACAGTCATGGACAGAAGCATCTACTATAGGTAGACTGATGAAGGTAGGGTACGTTTATCCCTCTTGTTGCTATACTCCCTACTTGCAGCAGGCCCAGTCTGGCCAGCTCAGTCAGCAGTACCAGAGTAGTAATCATGAATGGACGTTGAGATAGACATTGATGCAGAGAAGTGATAAGTGATTCATTTGTGTAGGAAGAACACCATCCAATTCTAAAGGGGTGCAGGAGCTTCCACTTGCAAACTGGCCACTTATCAGTCCATTAGTCTTTTCTTGATCATCAAGAGAGAGATGAAGGTGTAGTTGACAGTATAATCAAACAGCACTTACCCATAAACTGCTCACTGGCTCCCAAACATGCAGAAAAGCATGGAGTTCTACAAGCGATTGTGACTGTCCTTAAGACAGAGTGAGACATCAGGAAGACCTAGAAAACAGAAGTGTGCTTTTGGACATAACTTTTCATTAGCTGGAATTTAAGCGGGCACAATGTTTGCATTTGTTAGAGTCTAATCATCCCTGCCCCTAGACGTCACTGCAGGAATTCCTTAGGGCCGTGTTCTAGGCTTAGCCATCTTCAGCTGCTTCATCATCTTTACCTTCCCTCAGGGTCATAAATGGGAATATTTTGTTGATGACTTCAGACTTTTCAGATAAAGAGGCAGACCATGCCAACATGCACCAAAACCCTAGACAGCAGTTGGGCTTGGGATAATTCATGGCAAAACACTGTTGTGCTACACAAACATTAGATAATGACCATCTCCAATAACAGAATTTAATCATTTACCCCTTTTATTTTCAAAAACTTCTTACCATCAAAAAATTCCCCACTATGAATATTTTGGAGTCACTATTAACTAGAAACTTAACAGGCCCAGCCACATACATGCTGGCAATCCTGAGGTGAGTAACTCTTGAACCCCAACCCAAAACTGCCCAGCACCTACAGGGAGTGAGATGTGATACTCTTTACTTGATTGTCATTCCATCTACCGCATTGCACCTGAGATGGACAGAGACAGAGAAAATGTTTTATATGGCAGCAAATCTTTTTACAAGAGAGACTCCAGCCACCCTAAGCATCTTCAATAGCACAAGCTAAACCTGAAATTACCACCAACAGAAAGAAGAGGGCAGAAAGTGCAGGAGAACTTCATTGGCATGTTCCTTTCCCAAATCTCTCTCCATCCTGACCTGGAACTATCACCCTTCCCTCATCCACAAATTTGACCCAGTGATGGAAGTCCACATCTCATAGCACTGTGGGAGCATCGTCCCAGGAGGCAACTCACCAAAACTTTGTGCAATTGATGATGGGCAATAAATGTTGCCCTTGCCAATACTGTATATTGTTTTTCTTTTAAAATCTGTTTCAATTCCTTTTAATTTTAATTCGAACTTGGATTTCTTTTTAAAGCACCAACATTATGACTGACTTGAATGAGGAAGCAGTTATAAAATTGCTTACTTTACAGTTTGTGGTTGAATAATTACAGAAAGCAAAAACTTTTTTTGGACATAAAGTTCTTCCGACTCTACAATTGTTCAATTTGATCCCAGATCAGCTATTTCAGGATCTCTTGAAATTTGTTGGAATAACAGACCAAAAAGTGAGTTGTCCTTTCTTCTGGCTCCAAAAACCATTATAGACGAGAGGTCTCATAATTTAATTCCAACCTGAGTTCTGCTTTTGGCCTAAAAGATAGTCCAAGGGCCTGGAAGCCAATTACACTAAGGATGAATGTCAACCAAAGGATTTATTTTGTATTGGGCACCCTTTACTGAGAAGTATACTTGTCAGTGTTTCTGTTCATAGCTTCCACCATTCAAGCCTGTCAATATGTATTTAAATATAAACAATGTTCACTTATGCACCAAAGGAATTCTGCTGCTGAAGGAATCGTGTTACCATTTGAGGTACAGCACACGTTCAGGAGCACACAATTAAAGGAAACTTTTTTTGTTGTGGCAACAGTCATCCTCACCAATTAAACGAAATGGAGAATAGTTGTATGAAGTTGAAGGATTAACAATTCTTTAATCTATCCAATTTTTAACCTTTTACATTGGATAAATACCCTTTGTGATGCTACATTGATTTCCTCTTGTTGAGTCCATCATGTCTGGGCTGGTTGATATCCTATATTTTTGAGGAGTAGTGAAAAATGTGGATTGGAGAAAAAACATTGATTTATTTTTTGTTAAATCAATGGAGTGTTCGGAGTAAAAATTTGGGTAATAGAAAAATGTTCATGTTTGTCAACATCAGGCTATTTTCTACAAATTTACTATCTCTACACTTTTTCTTTTACTTTCAGGAAAGACTTGAGCGTGAAGTACCCTGAAGATCTGCCATTTACTGTTCCTAATCTAGTGAGGTTCATTGTATTGCATTCTACCCAGTTAGTTCATCAAGACCCATTCCAGTCTTGTAATCCAGACTGTATCCAAAAAGCAGCAGAATTACAGAAAGACCGAATTAGCCAACTGGAGGAGGAGCTTCAGAGACTCCGTGCAGAGATGCAGGCGTTGCATCAAGTTGAGAAGCAACTGGCTTTGCAGCTCTCAGTAGCCAGGCAGGAGGAGCACCAACTGAAGCTCCATAATCGAGCTCTGGAGGAGAAAAACGAAAAGCTTAAAAGTCATAATGAGAAACTGCAAGATTTATATAACCAGAGAAACGCAGAGCTAGCCGAAACAGCAGAGAAACTGAGCGAGATTACAGCAGTGTCTGAGAAACTCCTCAAAGAAAATGCTTTGCTTAAAACATATATGGCATCGATTGAAGAACTACTGGAGGAAAACACTTACCCCTCCTCATCTCCAATTCCTGCTGAAGAGGAATCTCTTTTAACTTCCCGTTCAGAAAATAATGCTGAAACAGAATCTTTCTCAAGTCATGACACTCCTACATTGTGAAGTGGGATAATCATGAAACTGCAGGGACGCAAGCCATTTTGCTGCCTATCTTTAAATTGCACCAGAGACATAAACTATTCGACATCAGGGTGAGGGAGATCTCATGTGAAGTTTGAAATGTCAGTAAAAATTTTCTTTCTACAGAATTGATTTTTTTACAAGAACTTCATTTATCAAGTTCCATTCTTGAGCATCTTTTTTGTAAATAATGAAAAATCTGGTAAAAGGGGAAATTCTTTATTTGTTTACATTTGAATATTGCACTATTGTGAAATTTATTACATTAAATTTTATTTCTGTAAACTAATGAATTACAGGAAGGGGAAAGAATCTGGTCATAAGATACCACAATATATCAAGTTCTTTTTAAATGATGCTGTTCTAAGTACAATTTGACCATATTAAACATGCTTTTAATTAAAACAGAAAACTGCTCAGCCACCATTTTAACTCCACTGCTGACCTTCCGGATCACTTGTAGACTGTGAATTACAGCCTTCTCCATCATAGGCCCAGCCTAGAAGCAGTTTAGGAAAAAGTACTTTGGTAGCATCCTAGCAGTTGCACAATACTTCAGCACAACCTCACTGTGTGCAAAATGCAGTAACAATTCTACATCTTTCATTTTGTGATCCCATCGAAATAATGACTCCCTCTTTCCCCTTTAATTGTTTTTTTAAAAACCCTTTCTAAAGACAATACAGGATCTAATTTGAGGTGGTGCAACAGTCAGCTGAAATAGCTGTACCATTTAGGTAAATGATCAGCGGGAATAGTGTGTTAGACTTTTTTTTTTAAAAACAGTTACTTTGAATTCCTAGTTCATTTCTAGTTTTGTATCTTCAATACTGCCTTATCCCAATGTCTCCACCCCTCACCATACAACCTAAGCTCAACAACAAAATACGCACTAAAGATGATCACTTAATGTGGCCTTTGCTCTAGTAAGATTTACAGCAGTTCATTTTGTACTTTTAATACTATCCCGCACAATACAGAAAAAAACTTTCGTACTGATCAATACGAATTATTTCCAGAGATCCACAGGTTTGATGGGGATGAAACTTACAGTAGTTGCTCCATCAAAACAGGCTCAGATAAAAAGGAATTAGAATTCAAGTAGGAAACACTGCAAAATAAACAAGAATTTCGAATAGCTAGTCTTGATCTTTGTTGATAACATGCAGTTGCAGATCAACAGAATGCAGGCTAGTCCTTGCCGTCTTCTGCTAACCTTGCTATTTTGTTTTTAATAAGCAGCTTGAACAGAATTAAACCTTCACAGTATGAAGAATGATTATTCTACAAATGTTATTTAGTCCAAATGGCAAAATCTGCAGTTGTGAACTGTGATTGAATGTTAACCGTGACCCTCCGTCCCATTAGCTGTCAGCTTAGCTTTCCGCTCTACCCGTGGCCCTTTGGCTGAGTACTGCACCAACAGAAAGGGCTCTTTGGTCTCGCCTTCTCCCACGATGCTTTCCTCATCTTCCGACTGACCTATTCGCTGCAGCCGCAGGTAGCACCAGCAGCCTAGGATCAATGCACCAAGAGCTGCGATGGCGATCAGAATCACAAAAACAGTGACCACTCCAGTGGTTGGGCTGTGGTCCATGGACATGGTAACTGTCCAGTGTAAGCCTTCAATTTCAGATTGTGAAAAGAGTACTACTTCAAATCGCTGGCTAGGAGAGGTTGACAGAGGCGAGAGGCTTGCAAAAAGACCTGAAAGAAAAATGTTTCAATAAGTATACTATATTTGAGGGTTATTAGCTGGTACTACAATAGAAAGATTTACACACAAGATTTTGGTGGACTGTCCAGGTAAGATTCCAGTGTTTTCCCCATCTTATTTTTTGATTAATAAAGTGAGGGATTTTTCCATAGCACTCTGGTTATAAAGTATTGAAGGGATTTTGTTTTGGCTGGGGGAATACCACAATTCTGAAAATCCCCAGCCTCTACTAAATAAAACAAGCTTTTAAAATTTCCCTTCCATTTATAATGACATAGACTTAGCAGCTTTGCAAATGGTCCTTGTGCTTCTATTAAGTTTTTTTTGAACACGTTGAATCTGATATACGAGAGCATTGTGTTTCCCTCCATCAGGAAGCTAATCGAGGCCGAACTGTCTGAATTTCTGAAAGTTAAAGAAAATCGGGGCACACTGAAACCCCTGACCCTGTCTCTTCTATGCAGTTTGACAATACGAATGGTATGGGTACAATTATGACCCATGTAATCTAAGCATTTTGCTTCTACTTAATGCTGAACAGATAACTGGGAACCTTTCATTCAATAGCAGATCACTTTACTAGCAAAATAATTAGCAATTGATTGATTCTCTTAAGTACAATGCAAAGTAGACTGGTCAACCAAATCGGGCCATCATTGTTCTTTGCCAGAGAAATTTCCTACAGTCTAAATCATGTGTTTTCAAAGCAAAATGTAAATTACTGAAGTTGGTTTCAGATACTTATAGCCAGTACACGTCAATTAAATGTGGGTTTACTGTGTTACATGGGTTGGAGGGTTTAAACATATTGCGTAATTCATCAGAAAAATGTGGTGCTACAGGCCTGTGGATAATAGTACAACTCCTACAGTAAAGAATCGGGACAGAAAATGTCCATGGAATTATACGCCAGTAAGGAACGTTGCTTGGAAGGAAAATACTAAATTCCCTAAAAAAGTAGAGCACGGAAGACATTCTAGAAATTAAATGTCATGCACAGTTAGCACAGATATACTTGACCAACTTATGGAATCTTTAGGAGAAAAGAATAGGCAATAAATACAGTAGATGCGATTTGTCTGGATTTACAAAAGGCCTTCCGTAAGATGCCACATAAACTAAGGTCTAAGGTTAAAGTGTGTCAAGTCAGGGGACAAAGTGGTCAAGTGTATTGCTAATTAGCTTTAAAGCAGAAAGAGCGAGTGTGAGGGTGGGTTCTCCCAAAATCAATACTGGGAACACTGCTGTCCACAATTTATTTTGAATTGTTTAGACTTTGAAATAAGGACTTCTTCGGTGCAGTGGTAGTTTGACCTTAAAAAGTATTTAGACTTTGGAATCGAAAACACTATTGCTACATTTGCAGCTGACTCCCAAGGCTTTTTTTGGGCGGGGGGGGGGGGAAGGGGGAAGAGTTATTTTTGCTCATTCTGTACTTTTGTTAATTTGCAAACAATGATCTCCTCTAAAAATTGAACAAAGCTAAAAATAAGGTAGCACATTTTAGCAGACCGAATGAAAGCTTACCTGTTGCTTGCAATAAGGTTGAATACAAGAACAAGGATGTCTTAAGTGTATAAATTCACCAAAGTTGTACCACAAAAACTCAGTTTCTAGAGACAGAATTGGGAAGTAAGGGAATTAAGCTAAACCCTTTTTGAACTTTTGTTACACAAAACTCAAATACTGAATGTAGCTCTGCTGTCTTCCAAAAGGATAGAGGCACTGGACTAGGTATGAAGATGATTTATGAGGATGATATCAGAAACGCATGGGTATCAGGGTAGTTCTTTCTTTTTTTCTTTTGAAGAGGGGTGACCTAACAAAGATCTTTTTAAAAAATCAATACAGGTTTTGATGGAGAGGAGATAGAAATGTTATTTTCATTTGTAGGAAGAGTACAACCAGAGGTTATCTGAAAGATGGTTACCAAGAAATCCAGCAGGGAATTCGGAAGAAATTTCTTACTCCAAGATGTGGTAAGAATGTGGAACTCTCATACCATAGGGAGTTTAAGTTTATAGTATAAATGCAATTAAGAGGAAGCTAGACAAGCAGATGAGGGGGTAGAGGGTGATGATGACAGGAGGCTTGAGGGAGCCAAGTGGCATGGAATGATTGGGCCAAGTGGCCTGTTTCTGTTTTGTATATCCTTTTAAAGGGAAAGTCACCAGTCTTGAGAGAAATAGCTGATGGTGGTTTAACCTGAGGGTTACCTCACCTCAGGTGAGGTTGAGAAGATGAGACCTTCAGTGATCTCAGCCAGTATAGCCTATATGTCAAAGTATTTCCATCAATTTGCTGTAGGTACCACGTTTTGTGCTTAAGTTAGTAAAGTACATTATACAATTATATTTTGTAGGAAGGACAAATTTACACATTTTACTGATCCTCTCTTTGCACATGAGCTGACATTGGTCAATTATTTGCAGTCACAGCCCCAAAATATGCAATATGAGTACCACAGTGATTACAAACAATCCTAAAGAAGGGTCACTGGACCTGAAATGTAATTTCTGCTTTCTCTCTGCAGATGCTGTTAGACCTAAGATTTTCCAGTAATTTCTGTTTTTGATTTCCAGCATCTACAGTTCTTTGGTTTCTTTTTTAATAAAAACAGATCAGTTCTCCTTTAACTGGGATATCTCAAAGGCATCTGGTCGTTCAGGATGCATTGTGTTATGGCTACCCTTAATGCTGCATATGTTACAAAACTGATTTTTAAAACTGGCTTGATGAAATACATTTTTCTTTACTATTTTTTAATTAGCATTGATGCCCCAGCTCGACAGTTCTTTGTTTAGCATGCTACACGTTGAATAAGATAGATTTGAAATGATTGAAAGAATCAGTGACAAGCCTGATTGGTGTTAGAAGTTAATAACTACTGTTGTTTTTAGAAACCGTGGTAAATCACAGTTTAAAATTGAAAAGGATGCAGTAGTTGAGAGATAGATGCGCAAGCTGGCCAGGGACAGTTGGAGTCTCTGCTCCCAGTCACAAAACCTAGCAGGCTACTTGGAGATCTGAAGGATGCAAGGGAAGACTGGAAATTGGACATAGTTAGAAGGGGGAGACTATGGAGCAATCTGAAGTGGTACGAAGATTTTTAAATTTATAAAGCTGGGGCAAGAATCTATGCAGCTGATTAAAGTGAAGCTGGTCTTCTATTGCGGGACCTTTTTTATGTGTCTGGAACTGGCAAAATGTAATAGCATAATGAATCATTTTAACAACTGCAGAAATGCAATTCCTAAAAACATCTGCAAGTGCCTTTAAATGCATGCACACCGAAAATAGATGCGACAGAAATAGAAAACACTACCAGCGGATTGCAGTAGAAGGTATTTCCAGGAGTTTGGAAATGAAGTTAATTAATCTATAACTGAAATGCCATGCAGCACTTTGAGCATGTCTGAATGTTTACATGAAGTTTTAGTCCGGTGCACTGTAAAGATTTAACATAGCCTTATTCAAGGAATAAGAGTTAGAAGCTTCTCATCTTCCAAGCATCAGGGCAAGTTGCAAGAATGCTACATTTCGAGTGATCAAAATCTTTACTACAGTAGATTGCTGATCAAGGAACACATATTTCACTACTTACTCCTCCCTCGATTTTAAATAATGAGATAGTTAATGCTGTCACATGCAGATCAAGAATGTGTATGATTTGATCATCAGCCTATGCAGAGTTAACCAATTAGGGTTTGAAATGACTTGTTACCGTTGACTGAGATCCCAGATCCAAGATCCATGAAGGAAACAAGGTGATTTTCCCTGTCATGGATTTATATTTTTGTATGCTTTGGCTGAAGACAAAACAGTTTAATGACATCACTGTAAAATAGCCCCCTGATGTACACTGCCCCATTGCAAGATGACAAGTGGTCTCCGGAACAATATGCTGGAGGGTCGCCAGAGACTGTGTGTGAAACATCCTTAGAACAAGTTTCTGCTTTTGGCGAAAAGATTCTAAGAATGTGTGCCTTAAATTTTTTTGAACTATGGCAGACTCCTGTTTAAAGTAAAATATCCTTTGGTCAAATCACTCTAGTGGTTTTCAACAGAGAATGAAGCTAACTTCAGAAATTTGTCTCTCGCTCAAGCGAGGCTAACTCTAGCCCCTCGATCAAATGTAAACCACTACATGCTGCTGAAATCAAAAGAATCTGAAACACATATTTGGCTTTGCTCGATAAATGTTTTGTTGGGGAGAAGTAGAGGGAGAAGGAAACATTTTAAAATAGCTTATTACCCACTCAGCAAATTCAAGTTGGAGCCTTGAAGTGGAATTTAAATAGTATCAGTTTTGACTGCATTTCACAACTGCCTGATGCAGAGAAAAACTTTATAGATGAGTGCAAAATTCAGATTGGCATACGCAGTAGTCAGAAAATATTCTGAAATTTATATCTACTGTGCTACACCCGGAATTATTCCACCTAGATCATAAATCAGTAAACGTTGACTAGTATATGAATGGGTAATGTAGAGCTTGATAGAAGCACATACCACACAATCAGCAAACCTGATGGGATTTCTGTGGTCATCTGTTCCTTGTGTGTATGTATTAACCTTTCCACATTGATTCATTTTTAAAAGAAAAAAGGAACAAAGAGGGTAAAAGAAAGTTATTCAGTGAATTCCCATGATGTGGTTGGGATGATTTGGGGAAAGCTGTGAAGCAGGAATACAAACCACGCCTGCTACAGAGGAATTTCAATCAGTCACAATCATGCACATGCAAAACTTTATCATCTTCACTTGAACTATGAAAAGCATGCAGCTGTACAATTATAGAAGTCCTACTCCAGGGTTTTTCTGTAATACCCGACTAATGGTTTTTTAAAAAGTACCATTTTCCTCCCTAAATGTGGCTATGCTCTGTAACAAATATTAAATCGATTCACGGTAGCTTTGATCCTTTTCAATGCTGTCCGCATCATTAAGTTATGGCTTTAATAACATGTTTCAGCTGCAGCCACATGTGAAATCTAATCTGATTAAGAATGTGAATGAAATAACTCCTACAGTATCAACACATATCTTGATGTTGAGTTCTTACTGCTGAGGAAAATTCTGTGGAGATTGTAATCTGCTTTTATTTAGGCTGCAGGGCTGAACTTTGATCATCCCCCCCTGCTACATTTAAAATTTTCCATGGGGTGCAGGAAGACTGGGACTTTGTTTGTACAAAAGAAGAATCTTGTCCACTTGAAGTTCCTGTTGTTGTCATTTCTACTTTGCCAGAACCAAGTGGATAATGAGTAGGAAGTGACAAGACCAGTAAATTGCTGCATAAATACATTGTTTCCTTCAGAGAGAAAATATTTCAGATCAACTGGTTTGGACTGGATCACTTTTGGCATTCTTGAAGTTGTTACTGTCAGATTTTAATGCAACTGTTTATCTAGAAGACAAACAAACTATTCTTTAAATATTAACCAGAGAATTTAGATATTTGTTTAAAAGATTTAATTTATTATCTTAAAAATTTGTGAAAAAGGTGGCTCACCTCTGTTCTGACCAAAATTTATCATAGATACAAATGGCTAAATGGCAGTTCAAATGTATTGCAGTAGTTTGCCTCCCACAAAAGAGTAAAAACCTAAAACAAAGCATGGAAAATAAATCTGACATTCCTTTTATCAGTGATTTTAAAGAGATGATTATTTTGTGTTTTCTATCATGATTAATTTTTGTAGCTCTCAAGCAACATGTTTCCACACTACTGGACAATTTATGGATCTGCAAAGAAAAAGTCTATCAATGTTTTAATCAGATTTTAAAAGATGGGCAATCCAGTATTACTTTGAGAACATGTTTCATTGAATAGATTAAAACATTAGAATGAGTTTCTGCATTTTAATTCAATTGCTGCAATTAGGTTTGAAGACTGACTTTGAAACTCAAACACAGTAGGTCAACATTTGCAGTGTCCAGTTATGAGAAGCAAATCATAAATTAATACAGTGCATCACTGAAGCCTTTTTTTGTAATTGTTTATCAAAGATTTTTCCAGAATGAGCGCATCTCCCTTAGTTATCAAGTTTCTCAGTTTTTAAAAAGATTCAAGACAGATTTGAATTTTAGACACTTAAGGCATTAAGGGGTGTACAGATATATGTATATCTCGAGGGAGAGAGAGAGAGAGAGAGAGTATGGTAGTGAGATTGACTGATACTCTACGACAGTACTTAATGGCATGGCAGATTTGACAAGCCAAATGACCTGTTCTTGTTCCAATTTTCTAAGTTTATACAATCAAAACTCATGGTGACTGGTCAACATTTTTATTCCTATGTGAGTCAATTCTAATGTATTCCACAGATTTTTATTCAAGGTGCACTCCATGATGTGTTAACTTTTGAGCACCCAACACCCATTTCTTGCCTCGATGTTATTAATATTGTAAATGGTTCCTTATCTTTGGATTCTGGTGTACCTTCCCCACCCTTCAAAAACCATCGTGATCACACATCTGTTCATAAATGATGCAGTCCTAGCAAACTGGCCTCCCAGCTCTCCAACCCCCCCCTCCCTTAAAATTCTTGAACATGATCTTGCCCAGGAGATCCAGGAGCTCTGTGGGTCCACAATGCCCTACTTGAATTTCTCCAAACAGGTTTGTACCCATCCCACTGTAGCAAAATGGCTCTAACCAAGGAAATGAGAAGGCTTGCTTTGAACTAACAGATTATTCTACCATGTTCCTCTCTGTTTCTAACCATGTGTCATAACAGTGTTTGTCTTCCATTTTGAGCTAAGTGGGATTGCTGTTATTTGGTTCCATGCTTACATATCTGTTCACAGCCAGGAAATATCCAGTAGTCTAGTGTTATGTTGAAGCAATTGTTGTAAATCAACTCCTCCTGCTAAAGTGTGTGTAAAACAGTCAACTGCTGTTCTCCCTCTGGTCTGGTCTAGGCTGCAAACAACATTACCAAAATACATTGACTACTGGGTTAACACCGTTGACAGGCTTCCTGCAGATATGAAATGTCACTACAAATGGATATTATTTCTTGAACAACCTACACATTTCTCTTTTTAAAAAAGGTCAAGCTTTACCTAAACAAACATAAAACTTCAAACCAGTAAGCCAAATGCAGAGGAAATGTTCAGTCTTGGCTTTTTACCTTATTAGCAACACCCCGTACCTGAGCCAAAAGGCAAACTGGAAAAAATATTTTGCCAAAACAGAAGGCATCTGTAACTACAAAGTTTCTGAAATCTTCACTAGGAAATACAGTGCCTTAAAGAAGCAACATTCTAGTATCATAAGGCTGTCTCCATGCTGCAAATACTTTTTTTTTTTGTTAGTAAACATTAGTGCTGCCAGTAGGAATTTGAAAATAGCAAATATCTGCAACTAAAATCTTAAAACTTTTTAAAACCTTTAGTTTGCACATGGTGTGTGCTGCATTCAAATGTGACCAATTTCTGCAACTACACAGAGGTCTTAATATTTCAAGGTCTGTCTGTTTCCCCAGCCCTCCTCCTGCAAAATTGCTCTGCCCAGGTCAGATTAAGTGATGCTACACTGGAATTTGGAGTCTGTTCTTTAGCAGAATGGCACAAACTTCCCACTATCATCACACCTGTGTAGTGATGTATTTGGTCAAATAATAATCAAATGAATTGCTCTGGAGAACCTTACTCCACCTTGAAGATGGAGCAACAGCACTACTGTCCTGGAGCTCTACAAAAATCAGCAGGCTGGAATTGAAGTGGATGTGCTGACGTAAGGCCTGTTTGAGTTTATAGTGCTTAGCATTTATTTTTTTCTAAAAGGATATTGCACAGTTTGTATTTCAATATATATGACCTAAGCATAACACAGCAGCTGCAAGGATTCCAGTCTGTTTCCTATCTAAACTTGGCAGAGGGAATATAATGTGGGAAAATGTGAGGTTATGCACTTTGGCAGGAGCAATAGTGGAGCTGAATATTATTTAAAAAGGAGAAAACTACAGAACAGAGGAGTTTGGGAGTGCTCATGAATCACAAAAGACTAGTATCCAAGTTCAGTGGGTAATAGGGAAGGCAAATAGAACATTGGCTTTATTTCAAAGGGAAATGGAGTACAAAAGCAAGGAGGTCCTTGTACAACTCACAGTTACAGACCACAGCTGAAACACTGAACAGCTTGGGGTCCTTTATCTAAGGAAAGATATACTGGCATTGAAGGTAGTCCACAGAATGTTCACTCGGTTGATACCAGGCATGGAAATACTGCCTTAGGAAAAGCGTTTGAGTAGCTCGAGTCTGTACTTGTTGGAACTTTAGCAGAATGAAAGACAACCTTATTGAAACACAAGATTCTTAAGGGACTTGACAGGATAGATGTGGAGAGATTGTTTCCCCTTGTGGGAGAGTCTAGGATCAGACAGCATAATCTCAAAGTGGTTGCTCATTTAAAACAGATGAGGAGGAATTTCTTCTCTGAGGGTTCTGAATCAGTGAAATTTTTTATCATGGAGGCCGTCAAGGAGGGTCATTAAGAAGAAGAGAACAAAAGACAAGTACAGCACAGGAACAGGCCCTTCGGCCCTCCAACCCTGTGCCGATTGTCATGCACTAACTAAACTGAAAAACCAAACCTTCTGCCCTTATTTGGTCTGTATCCCTCTATTCCCTCCCCATACGTGTAACCATCCAGATGCCTCTTAAATGTCGCCAATGTGCCTGCTTCCACTACCTCCTCTGGCAGTGCATTCCAGGCTCCTACCACTCTCTGCGTGAAAAACATCCCTCGCACATCTCCCTTAAACCTTCCCCCTCTCACCTTGAACCTGTGCCTCCTTGTAACTGAAACTTCAACCCTGGGAAAAAGGCTCCGACTATCCACCCTATCAATGCCTCTCAATTTTATATACGTCTATCAGGTCTCTTCTCAGCTGCCGTCTTTCCAGTAAAAACAATCCTAGTCTTTTTAACCTTTCTTCATAGCCAATGCCCTTGAGACTGGGCATCATCCTAGTGAGCTTTCTCTGTGCTCTCTCCAAAGCTTCCACATCCTTCTGGTAGTGTGGTGACTAAAACTGCACACAATACTCCAAATGCGGCCTAACAAGGGTTTTATAAAACTGCAACATGGTTTACCGACTGTTGTATTCGATGCCCCTGCGAAGGAAGGCAAGCATGCCATATGCCTTCTTAATCACCTTGGCCACCTGTGTTGCCATTTTTAGGAAACTGGACTTGCACGCCCAGATCCATCTATATGTTAACGTTCCTAAGGGTTCTGCCAGGAACAGGCCCTTCGGCCCTCCTTTAGGGCTTCCTAAGGGTTCTACTTAAGTATATCGAAGACTGAGATAGACGGATTTTTAATTGGTAAGAGAATCAAGGGTTATAGGAAAAATGCCAGAAAGTGGAAAGTATAGAATGGCACAGCAGACTTGATGGGCTGAATAGACTTCTGTTCCTATGTCTTACAGTCAGGCTAGCAGGGCAAAACCCTTTCAGAGCCATTTTCCTAGACACAGTTGGATAAGATGAATTAAAACAAAAGTCAATGTGGTAATTCCCAAGCCGTTAGCACAATTCCTACACAGGTTGGTAACCAGTTAATCTAGTTTCAGTCAATATTCCTGTCATTCCAGTACATTAAACTGTGAACTAGGGTTTTTGTGGCACAGTTAATTTCTGTACCTCTGAGCTAAGAGGCCTGGGTTCGAGTGCCTCATGCTCCGGATGTATGCAATAGTACATCTCAACAAGATGATTCATAATATCCAAACTAGGATTTTTAAAACCACCTTGTTGTTTAGTGTGAAATTGCATTGTGTAACATTCATAAAAGTAACCTCCTCTTTCCAATTGCAGGGTATAAACTTCTCATTCATCAAACAATAAAAAAGCTACAACAATTCTCATATTATCCAATTTCTACCATTGAAGTCCTTCAGCGATCACTAGTCATTAGTGTGCCGTGTGGCTGTATAACCTAACAAGTCCCATTGAAATGAATTCTGATACAGACAACAGCAACATCTGCCCTATATACACAGTTCATTTTAGAAAGGAAACCTCAAGATGTTTAATCAATGGCAACGTGAAAACAAAACACAGAAACTGCCAGTAGAACGGGTATCAAGACCCAGAGCAACTAATCAGGAAGGATGACTGGAAATTTAATCACACCTTTAATGATGTTTTGAGGTGATGGAGACATTAAGAATGAGCACTCAAAAGAGTAGGGAGCAAACAGCAGAGTGAACTGCAGATTCTGGAAATCTGAAACAAAAACAGAAATTGCTGGACAAAGTCAACAGTTCTGGCACTATCGATGGAAAAAAAAGAGTTAATGTTTCAGGTCAGGTGACGCAAAATGTATGAAGAAGCTAACCTGGGCCCGAAACGTTTACTCTGTTTCTCTCCCCACAGATTCTGCCAGACCAGCTGAGTTTCTCCAACATTTTTTGTTTTGATGCAATTTTTAATGTGTTTGCTTGCGATTTAGAAGCCAAGAGTTTGCTTGATGGTGCACCCAGGTTGTATTAAGTGCCATGCAGCAATCCTGAAGATCCTCGACGACATTTATGAACATAGGAGCAGTAGGCCATTCAGTCCATCGGGATTGCTTTGCCATTCAGTAAAATTGTGACTATTTCTCCATTACGGATTATTTCAGCTGGTGGTAGATACATTTTTTAAAAATTACTTGCTCTGACAAACAGCAACACAACACACACACTCAAAACTAAACAGAAACAATAATATACCAGTCAAAATTCCAACTTCAGTTGTAACATTTGAATAGAATTAGCTTCCATTTTCACGTGAAATCTTTGTCAATACTTTCTCAGGACAGAACTGGTCATCCAGAGAGAGACAAAAAAATACTGGGGAGAGAGGGGAAATGCCTTGGGGACAAATCAGAGAATTATGAAGGGTCTTTATACTCTTCAATCAAGAATGACCCACCGCCCAACCACAAACAGGTTTTTCCACGGTTGAACATTCCAAAGTCAGCAATAGGTTAGTTAGTATCACCCTGACCTATCCTGATACCGTACTCTCTAATATTCACCCACCTAACCATACATCCACGTGTTAAAACGGCTCAGTAATGACCAGTAACACATTGATGGTTTATTAGCAGTGTTGTTCACCAAAACACAGTAAAACGGCAGTTCACCCAACCACAAGGTTCAAATGAATTTTTTAAAAAAATATTATTTTATATACATTTTTATATTTACACAGATTATAGTGTTTTATATATACATTACACTGAATGTATATAACATATACATACAAAATTACTCCGTACTATTTTACATCTTCTATAGATATGTTATCAAAAAATCCAGTGCATATGTAAATATATAAACCACAGCAATCCAGGGAAGTAACAAAAATTCAATTTTTGGCAGCGATCACGGTCAAAATGTATCACAAACCACGTACATCTGGAAAGCAGCTTGTTAATTCCCCATGACACATGCTTGGTTTCCCCCCAGAGAAAGTACCGGCTCTGACTAGCACCCAAAGGTGCAGGCTCTCGGCAGTTTAACAATGTTACGGTTGAAACGCAGCATTGCTTTGTTTTTCCACCTTCGCCATCCACCACTTTGCTCCTGCATTGCTACAAGAGTATCCGCAGCGCCCCTAAAC